CCCTCAAATAACTTCTGAATTGTCCCTTCCACAACCGTGCCCTGACCAAAGCAATTATTAGAAAATCCAACAAGATGTCAAGAATGAGCAAGTCATATTTTTTGAATTATACCTTCATCTTGTCTTCAAGCTTTTCACACAAAACTCTATTTAGTTCTTGCACATCATGCTGCATAAATGAATCATAAGTGTCCCAGCCAAAGGATTTTGTTAATTCTTTTGTCGCCACACTCGTATCACTGTACTGGAGCTTATAGAATAAACTCTGCAAAGCTAATGGAATGCTCCCTGAAGGCATATCATTCTCTGTAGTCGGCATATGGTACACAGCCTGATGAATTATAATCAGGGTGAGAATCACTTCATTCAAGAAAACCAGTGCCAAGAATCTACAATTTCTAAATAACTTAAAACACAATCCAACCTTTCTAAAGTAGGGAATATGGTATTGGGTTTGTAGGAGAGAGTTCATGTAACAAGTAGCTCCCTGATTTTTAAGCCCAACATATCCAGTCTCCTTCTTCGAGTCATATGTCCAGTAATCAATGACCTTACGTACAGCAACATCAGCTTCAATAACAACTCTATCATTTACGAGATATCCCTTGTTGGTATCATAAAGCTCACTTAGAAGCATGAAAGATGTGAAGCCCCAGTCACTCTCTCTTTGGTTAAACTGGTGTTGTGTCTCTGCAAACCAAAAAGAGTCCAAATGTAATGAGGATGAAAAAGACACGATCATTCTACATTAACTGGCATTTTAGGCTTCTCCGAGAGCAAAATGAGCAGGATGTTCTTGGTTTGCATTCTCACAATCAGGCCAATCTTTTATACAAAATCGTAAACACTAATCCGACATAAGTTTCACTAGACAATGTAATTGCTTGGATACAGTCAAATGCTCAAGAGCCTTTTTCTTGCAAATTTCCGTTTAAAGTGCGTTGTTTACAAATTTATGAAATCTTGAATCAAGAAGCACAAATTCTCTACTTCAAAGGTTAGGTCCACACACAAAGTTCTCCATATGTCATGCATGTGCGTTGCACATGTATGACGAGTCATATAGTACACGCTTTTGTAAAATAATATAAATATTATTAAAATAAAATTGATAAATAACTATAAATGAACAGATAAAATAGAAGTTTTTCTTAATGATCAATGGATCATCATATGACGACTTTTTCTTTTGTCAAGATCAAGATGATTGAATATTGTCTAAACCTACAAAATAAATAATTAAAGCTTAATTAGATACATGAGATTTTGGGATCACGTATTAAAAAGGTTGGTTGCCACTGTAAGTAATTACTTATTGTGAGGCTTTAGTCCCATCCATCCCTTTTGAGAACTCTACAACTTGCTTTTGGCAAGTCTTTTCATTAACGGATCCGAAAATGTTTCTTGAACAATGAACAAATCCAGCTCGATTACTCCATTTTGAAATATTTAACTTGGAATTGTTTTGTACCTCGAGCTGGATGTACTCGTTTGCTCATTTGAGTCCTTTGTTTGAATTTCCAATAGTGTTGCGCCGTTTCATTTAGGCGTATCATCTCAAAATTTCATATATCAAAAATGACAAATACACGTTTACTTGTTATAAGATTTCTATTTCATGAAAATATTCATTTGAATGAAATTTCTCACACATCATCCTAACCAATTTAAAAATATGATATGCCTCCACATGTTAAAATATTATTGTATGATCAAACCATTTGAAAATAAGCACAAGTCTCGAATACATTATAACATCATGAGACACAAAAACATTTAACACCATTTTTGAGTTGCAAATAATTCACACGCGATTTAAATTAACCCTCACATTTTATATATTAACACATGAACTCCAAACCATGTTATATGCATGCATGTCAAGCAAAGAACACAAATTAATCCTACTATGCGTCCACAAGGTAATATCATTATGATTTGATATGCACATTTTATCATGAAATAGGAACATCTAAGATGTGAGAATATTTACCTTTTTTCAGTAAGTGTCAACTTGCAACTTTATTATTAAATAAGTTATGCCCAGAATTGGACCGAGTATTATATATTATATCAATGAGTTGATGGGCTATGGGAAACAACCTCTCTATTTCACACAAGATAGGGATAAGGTTTGCGTACACCCCACCCTTCCCAAATCCCTATTGTGAGATCATTTATATGATACCATCCATGCATATAATTCTATTACTTGAAAGTGATCTTTATATGATTTCATGCATGTATTTTATATGTATGTCAACTAATTTGCATAGAAATAATAATAACTTTTAAACATATATTATCGTAATCATAACACATATGTATGTTCAGTTAAATATCTTGAGATCGTCACTTTAGTGTCTACCCTATTATTTATAGAGGTTGAACTTTATCAAAAATCACATAAAGTAGTAATAGATAAGAAAATAATAAGTGAACTTAAGAAAGTAGAACCTGATTTAAGAAAACACAAAGTACAAATTTTAATTTTCTATACTAAAACTGAAAACTACGTTAAAAATTAAAATTATGATCTATAACCACTTTAAAAATGTAAAATAGTCCTTTTTCGCAAACAAAAGTGCATTTTGATACATATTTCTTTAAAAAAAATTACTCTAGTTTTTTTACTTTAAATTTGTTAAATTATAACGTACTAAAATATTCTAAAGTAAATTCAAAGAGCATAATTAATAAACTAAGGTAACACAAAACAAAAAGAGAGCTATAAAGTAAATACAACTAAGAAAGTGTAATAGAACTATAGAAGAAAGAAAGTTTTGCTGGAGGGAAATATATACGTTATTATATAAACTATCCAAGGAAATATATACGTCAATAACGGATTAGTAAACCATATATGCGGGCTTATAATTTTTATTTTTCTCAAATAAACAAAAGTTCAAAATTCAACAAAAGTAAATATCAATAATTTATACGTATAAAAAAGAAACTTGATAACTGGGAAAAGGGGAGGAAAAATGAATCAGCACAAACTAAAAAGCACAACTTTATGGAGATTTTGAACCTGATCAACCATTGCTCCACAACTATTGTAGATGTCAAGCATGTTCATTAGTTACTATACATAAGGAGTTTTGTCTTCTTTTTTTGCAGTATATTTTTATACATATAAATTGAAATATTTTTTGCAAAGCGGATTGTCAATTGTACACCCCCCACCACCACCACCACCCCACACACACACACGCTCTTTAACGTAGTTTTGCCCCTGCTGTTAAAAAATGGGAGTGACAATTCAATCTCAAAGTTAAGAAGAAGATAGGTTTGCAATAAATGATTGTAACTTTTGGTACAGAGTATGAAGAGACAAGTTTTTCAACCAATCACACGAAAATTCAAAGTGCTTCAAACTTTTACGCCTGACAACTTGACTGGTTTATTTCACACCTCTAAAACAAGTGCTTTTGCAGAAAGATATATAGTGTGGTTTTTGAAAATGAGAAACGAAAAGATAAACCTGGATGGGAAATACATTATAAGTTGCATTTGGCAGATGAATTTGATCTTTACAGGGCTGGCAATAGGATCAAGCAACTAAAGCATATGCTTGAGGCCCCCATTTTTACCAAAAATAGGCTAATAGGTTAGTTTTTTTGGAAAATAATGACTACTTTTAAACAGAAAAGTAGATATTTTTATAAAAGGAAGTAGTAGATTTGAGTAAAAGTTTGGTAAATGTGAATCACTTATCCAAACTTTTACGGTGGATAAAAAATCTAACAAGTGAAATCACTATATTCTACTTCTTACCTTCATTTTTTTCATCAGAAAATATGTAGTACAAACTTATTGTTTTATACTATTCACTCTCTTTCTTGGTTTGTCCAAGAGTCAATCTCTCACATAACATTTATACTCTTCTATATTCTCTTTCTTGCTTTTTCTGAATTCTTGTATGATAAGTTAGTAGTATTATTCTTAGAAAAATCATAGCTTAAGAGAACTATTGATAAAATATACTGCACCACTCTTTTTTCCCCACGTTTCAAGCATTGCGATTTATTGAAGGAGCAATAAGATATTTTAGAATCAAGTCATCAATTTTCTTGAATTAAATTCTATTATTCTAAACTTCAGATGTTATTATTATCTCATATTTGTTAATTTTGTTATTTTTACTTCATAGTTGATAGTTATATATAGTCTTTTTAATCATTTATTGGAATTTACATATGTCAACTAAACAATATGAATCTATTTGTTCAAAACCAAAAGAAAAGAGTTAAATTGTAATACAATCCTAAAAAAGATTATTAGGAGAAATCGATTATAAAAAGTTATTAATAATTTTGCATCTCAAAATGCTAGTAAAATAGAATCCAATTAAGTGTGTGCGCGCGTGCGTGTATATATATATGATTTTGTTTAAAATGCTTAAGGCCTCTCATCAATGTTGGTTTTAGGCCACAAATACTGCTGAGCCGCCAATTCTTTAAATTTACGAAAAGTCATGTTGGTTAATATATGATTTGATTTAATGTATATTAATTAACTTAAACATTGAGTATGAGGTAATTTTATTTTGGTGAAGGGCAAAAAGGACAATAAAATTTGAAGGATATTTTTGTAATTCAACTTTTGAAGGTCTTCCCACTTTTAGTATAGTATAAAATAAATGTGTGTGTATATGTATTAATTGTGCATTATATATTGGACAAAATAACAACTTTTTGACGGCGGGCAAACACTGGTACACAAATGGTATACAAAATATTGGAGAGCTAACACAACACTATCGCAACAAATGTTACCAGATCGCAGTTTTCAGTTTGAATTCCCATGACGCAAAGGCATGTTAGTTCTCGTGGCTAGCAAGAAGAGCGATGGTTTGGATAGTTGAAAATGTGAAGGAGAAAAAAAAGATTTTAACAGTTAAGTGAGAATTGAGGATGGACAATGTTGAACCTGTTTAGAGTATAGTGGTCAATGCGGAGAATAATTCAGGATAAGATACATAGCTCATAGCTGGACAACCAAACGTAGAAGGAGATGTCGAGCATGGAACATAACCCTTGTAGCTCTTATGTGGGTGCATTGGAGATAGAAGAATACAAGGGAGCATTCGTAAAAAATGATCTCTTGTATTAGTGGTTGTCTCGTCTTTTTGGTGCATACTTGGTGAGCCGACAAGGTCCTTGTTAGTGTAGATAATTGGTGTCACTGTGTAGAGAACTATATCTTTTTATAGATCCTACATTATTTTGGAATGCCACTCGTATATTGGTTCTTCCTCACAGCAACAATAAACTTATTACCCCTCTGTCCTAATTTATGTACGGTGTTTGATTGGGCACGGAGTTTAAGTGATGTTAAACAAGGCATAGACATTGTATGGCTATATATCATCTCATCAACGGTAAAATAAAAAATTTAAAGTAAAATTGTTTCTAAAGGTAGAAAGATGTCATTCTTTTTGGACAGACTAAACAAGAAAGAGTGTCACATAAAATAGGACTGAAGAAGTACTTTATTTATTTAGAAAAAACACAAATTAATGTAGCAAGATCAAGCATACACAAAAGTTTTGCAAGTTTTATGCAATAAACAAAAACACTTGCAATACCTTTGGTCTTAGTCTGGCAGAAGAAGGTTAGACTAATGCTACTGTTCCCTCTTAATTCTGTTTTCCACTCTAACCTAAGCTGTTGACCCTATAGTAGCAAAAGAAGAGGATGCACATTCCACCCCCGCACTCAAAAAGTATCGCCAGAGTTCTATCCTTCTGTCACCATTTAGGGAAAGAATTCCACACCCCAATTTAACGGAGTACAACCCCTTTCGATCATGAGTCCGTCTCAAAGTCTTCTCCATTGATCACCCAGTTGCTATTCTTTAATTTTGTGATAACCTGAATCAAGCTCTTCACTCCCAATCTTGGCAACTCCTTCTAAGGAAGATGCTCCAACTTGTCCAGCCTACACTGAGCTGTAGTCGCATTAGGATGAACATAATTTTAGGATGAACTTGTTCTTTTTTGGGCATTAGGATGAACTTGTTTTTGATAAATAGTAGCATTATAAACTTTCGATGTAACAATATCAGGATAATCATTCTTCAGACAGTTTGGCCAACCAAATATCCTCCTAGAATCTACTCTTCTGCTCATCCACAACTCTCAGAGAATTATTAATTTGAAACCCATGCCATAGACTACTAATATATCTCCACAATCCATGACCATGTGGGATCCAACTCTACTAACGCACCAGCTATCACTTTCCCATCTCAAAGTCTTCCTCTTGACTATATCCGCACAGATATGTAAACAAATATCTTTATTACTGGGAATAAGGATGGCCTTGGAGAAAATTTGGAAATGTAATGCATCCCCTAGAGTATCATGCTTTGGTTGGATTGTTTTAAAGGAAGCATGTATAACTCAGAATCTTATAAAAAGTGAGATTTATTTGTGCAGCAGATGCTTCATGTGCAACATGGAAACAGAAGATGTAGATCAGTTATTTCTGCACTTCAGAATAATATCAGAACTCTGCAAAATGTTCTTGAACATTTTGTAAGTTTAATGGGTGATGCGCACATTCAAATGTCAATATTTCTAAAGCTTTGGGAAGTTAAAAAGCTGAAAAAGGAAATAAAAGCCATCAGGGAAACCATAATATGTGCATCCCGTGGACCATATGGGGAGAGAGAAACACCAGATGTTTTTAAGGCAAAAGCAGATCACTTCATCAACTAAAATATTACTGTATACATCCTTTAAATTGTTGGTGTTAACTAAATGATGGGAAGAGTACTGAAAATCTCAGACTTTATTACTCCCTCCGTTCCAATTTATGTGGAGGTGTTTCATACGGGGCAAAGTTTATGAAAAGAAGGAAAACTTCTGAAATTTGTGGTTTAAAATAAGCCATAGATATTGTGTGGCTGTAAATCATTTTATTAAGGGTAAAGTATAAATTTTAAAGTTAAATTATTTCTAAATAAGGAAGTATGACATTCTTTTTGGGATGGACTAAAAAGAAAAGTATGACACAAAAATTAGGACAGAGGGAGTAACTTTTTAATTCTTTTTGATAAACACAAACTCTTTAACTCTATAAATAGATGAAATCTATTTAAAACTCTTATATTGTATATGGCACCCTCTTGGTGCTTTTACATTAATAAAACTATGTCGTACTTCCTCAAGAAAACTCTATCTTCTTTATTGTGTCTATGCACTAATTTACCCAAAAAATAAGTAGAGCATCTCAGTGTTGTCAAAGGCGCGCTTAAGCTCTGAAGCGGGGCTCAAAACATGTTGAGCACTTTGCGGTCGCTTCAGCGTCGTCATCAACTTTAAGGCATACTTTTCCTTGCCAATGAGCGTAGTTCTAAAGAAGCAATACTAAACAATTGATATTTCACTATCGTAATTCTTTTTCAATTTCTTTGCCCATATATTTGTTATTCAAACTTATAACTATTAGTCTTGGACTACTTATCAAAAAAAAAATATTGGTCTTGGACTACACATACATATTTCTATTTATTTGTTTTCCATTTGCGCGTTTCTTCATTAAAGCGCACGCATTATTTGCGCTTTACGCTTAAAGCCCCAACAGACCTTAGAACTTTATTGTGCTTTTCGCCTTTCACAACACCGGAGCATCTACCAAGTCCGAACAAAACGATGGAGAAACAACGAAAATTCAAGAAAGAGAACTTGATATAATGGTAATACTAAACAGATTTTTTAAAACGAAACAAAAGGTCACAATAAAGATGGTTTGAGCAGATTTAATTATTCAATTGTGCCGATTCTCTTGACCATGGAGAATAAAGAGTATTCTGACTAATCATTTTGCTTTTATGCAGTTTCTGGATGAGACAAAGCTGATTAGATGATAAATTTTTCTAAATTTTGTTGATTTGTGTCGTGTAATTTTTTATATTGAGCAGAAATAGATACCTCGATAGGTATGAAAATTAAAGAAAGTATCTAAGTTTACTTGATAACAACAACAAGAAGCCCAGTGAAATCCCACAAGTGGGGTCTGGGAAAGGTAAAGTATACGCAAACCTTACCCCTACCTTATGACGGTAGAGAGGTTGTTTCCGAAAGACCATCGGCTCATGAGAAGTGAAAAATATGATGATAATTGCGTCACATCTTGTGTAATAATAGTGATAGTTAATGTGCATTATGAAGTCTTGAGCTTTATCGAGTGGTTGGAAGAAGAGTGGAGAAAAGAATGAAGCAGTGACATAGCCAGTGCCTCGCACCCACTATAGCACTAAATTCCAGTGCTATCCCCAGTGCCCAGCAGTCACCATAGCACTCAATTTCAGTGCTACCATTCGTGCGGCGCACCCCGGCCATTTCGGAGGCCAAGTTGTTCCTATTTTGCTTGGATTCGGTTAAAATCATCTAGGACTTTTCCTACACATATAAATAGTCTTTAAACTCAATTTTTTTAGGGGAGTTTGACCCTAGCAAAGGAGAAACGTTGTCGGGCAATTTAGGAGTCGAAAATCATAGAGTTTTTCTTCCTTTCTCTCACTACTAGTTTTATGCTTTCAAACATTCTTTATGATGATTAGCATGACTATGAGTGGCTAGTTCTTTTTGTTCTGGGTTATGGATGCTACATGAATGTTGATGTTTGAAGTTTGCATTGACAATTTTGATTTTATCATATTGGTTTGTTTATTTAATCATGCGCTTAATTATTTGTTGCGTAGCTAACAGTGAAATACTATCTACGATTCTAGAGTTGAACTCGAAAATGAGAATTCTAAATTGCATATAGGATTAAATAGAGCAAGTTCTTGAACCTGGACATTGGGAAATGGATTCGCGGTTAGGATCGACATATACCTAATTGTTTTGCTTGGTTGATATACAGGAATTATAAATGCGTTCTTGTTAGTCATAATTCCATAGACATATAAACGTTAGGTTAACTTGAATAGGCGAGTAAGAACTCGACGGATTCTTACGAGTAACATCAACAAACCTGATAAATCAATTAGTTGGTTTAAGCAGAGAACGCATATAGGATTGTTAGCTAGCTATAACCCTGGAATATCTTCTCCCATAGATTTTTATCCCGAGTTGCCCACATGCTTCATACGATCTCTAGTTTACTTGATTGATTTATCAACAAACCTGATAAATCAATTAGTTGGTTTAAGCAGAGAACACATATAGGATTGTTAGCTAGCCTATAACCCTGGAATATCTTCTCCCATAGATTTTTATCCCAAGTTGCCCACGTGCTTCATACGATCTCTAGTTTACTTGATTGCTTTACAGTTTATTTTGTGGTTAATTAATCACTAACATACTTTGAGTAAAACCACCTAAATAGATAATTAGTTTGAGTTTAATTTAGTTAATAGTTAGTCATAAGTCTCTGTGGGAATGATACTCTGTGGGAATCATTAGTTTGTGTTGCATCTGCCTCTGCCTTTGACAACCCTAAGAAAAGGCGAGTAATGATAAAGAAACCTTTTTTTAAAGAAAGTTTAAGATAGGCGCATAGCATACAAACATAAAGGTACAACTGAGAATGAGTTAACAGTTAAAAAGTGAAATTTTATACTTTCTTCCAAAATAAATCCCAATAAGTGCTTCAAACAAGAAGGCTTCCTAATATATAAAACGGCAATGAAGAACAAAGCACACTGAAATACCACATTAATACATTAAATAGATCTGGCATTCAAACTTGAAGTGCACAAGATAATACCTTTTTTCACAGTATACTTGGGATTTACTTGATTCACAACAGCTAAGCTGAACTGGGCATACCTACTCCACCCATATGGAAGTGTAGCTGAATCTGCTACATCTAAGTACATCGACAAACAATCCACATTATTTCCTTTCGGAAATATTAGCACTCTCCTGAAAAAAACCAATGACATACGGACATCAATTATAACACTTTATTACGAAACTTAACGACCAAGATAACTGATATACTTCCCTTTTTTTAAGGGAAGTCTCAGATAAGTGA